AACATCTTAGCAACCACCCAGAACATCTTAGCAACCACCCAGAATATCTTAGCAACCTCTTAGCAACCACCCAGAACATCTTAGCAACCTCCCAGAACATCTTAGCAACCGCCCAGAACATCTTAGCAACCTCTTAGCAACCTCCCAGAACATCTTAGCAACCACCAAGAACATCGTAGCAACCTTCCAGAACATCTTAGCAACCACCAATAACATCTTAGCAACCTCTTAGCAACCACCCAAAACATCTTAGCAACCTCCCAGAACATCTTAGCAACCACCCAGAACATCTTAGCAACCACCAAGAACATCTTAGCAACCTCTTAGCAACCACCCAGAACATCTTAGCAACCTCCCAGAACATCTTAGCAACCACCAAGAACATCTTAGCAACCTCTTAGCAACCACCCAGAACATCTTAGCAACTTCCCAGAACATCTTAGCAACCACCAAGAACATCTTAGCAACCACCAAGAACATCTTAGCAACCACCAAGAACATCTTAGCAACCTCTTAGCAACCTCTTAGCAGCCACCTAGAACATCTTAGCAACCACCTAGAAAATCTTAGCAACCTCGTAGCAACCACCTAGAACATCTTAGCAACCACCTAGAACATCTTAGCAACCTCCTAACAACCAGAACAGTGTTGCTGAATGTGTAACTAATATGAATAGTTTTTTTTTTTTAATTTTAAAACATAAATAAAAACTGTGGAAGCCCGTTTTTGCCACTAAATAGAAAAAGGTAATTGCGACTTTTTATCTCACAATTCTGACTTTTTTTCAGAATTGCAGGATATAAACTCACAATTGCGATTTATAAAGTCAGAATTTTGTGATATAAACTTGCAATTGTGAGAAAAAAGTAAGACTTGCATAATATAAACTTGCAAATAAAGATGCAAATTAGAGAAAGTCAGAATTGTGAGATATAAACTCACAATTGCGAGAATAACGGCAGAATTGAGTGATATAAAACTTACAAATGTGAGAAAAAAAGTCAAGAATTGTGAGCAATCACCTTTATTTTTTATTCAGTGGCGGAAATGGGCTTCCATAAAAATCAGCTCTGACAATGTAAATAAAATGCTAAAGATCTAATCAGACAGTGAACAATAATAATAAAAGCATCTGCTAAAGTGCATAAATGTAAATGAAACAAAAGTAGTTGATTTCTGACTCTGCTCTGGAGGTCACTGAGGTCAGATGAACTCACATGACCTCTGACCTTTAGTGAACATCTCACAGAGAGGTCACATGATCACAGGAATCAGCAGAAACAATCTCCTCTGCAAAAAGATTAGAAAAATCACATTGACATAGCTGATGTTTGTTATTATCCAGGTAACCAGCTCAACACGTTTAACTACCAACTCAAATGGTAACTCATGTCAGCAGCTGATCAGGAAGAAAAAGAAAAGAAGTGACTGTAGAAAACAGGTTATGTAATTATGTAATGCGTATACGCGTTATTAATTGAAGCACACGACAACAGTAAATCAAGCACAGATAGAAGTGCTTACTTCAGTACAGCGTGTTTCCAGGTTAATTGGTTTCTGCTGATGCATCAGCTGTAAAACTGTACGTTTTCCCCAGACTGAAAAAAAAAAGCGTCACAGCTCGGTGTGTTATCAGTTATCGCTCTGGTGCTAATCTGACAAGTACAACCAACTCAGACATCTCCTGTGTTTTACTGCGCCGCAATCTAAACGTCAAATGCAATTACACGCGACTCCTGTCAGGAGGTTCAGTGCAGCTGCGGCGAGATGCGATACTGCGATGACGGATTGAGTTTGTGGAGCCCTTCATCAGACCAGACAAGACAAGAGACCCTGAGCGCTGAAGCCATTGATTTTAAGATCAAATCAAATCATTTGTGCAAAACTAACAGCAACACCAGCAGTGATGGGCAGTAACTGATTACATGTAATCAGATTACATTTTAAAATACTCAAACAGATTGCAGTTACTTTTTATGGATTACGTGATTACAAATTATTCACATAATGGCAGTAAATTATTCATAATGTACTGATTCTCTCCAATTCTTATTTTTTTCTCTTTAAAATGTTCCTTTCTAAAAAAAAAATACTGTGTCATTGAATACAGTGAATGTTCACAATATAGAACGGTCATGAAAAATGTTATGTAGATTAATTAGCAATCCATGCTTCTGAATTTGGGGACAAAAGCACCTCTTGGTCAATTAATACCATGTATGAGACTAATAAGTATGCAAGTTATTTACTTTATTATGCAAATGAGATGCTTAAAATTACTGAAGATATATTCATGTTTACTTACAATTCAGCCAATTATTGACACTGACATCTTAGCAACCTCCTAGCAATCCCCCAAAACATCTTAGCAACCATCTAGATCATCTTAGCAACCTCCTAGCAACCGCCCTAAACACCTTTGCAACCTCCTAGCAACCACCCTAAACCCCTTAGCAACCTTCTAGCAACCACCCAGAACACCTCAGCAACCTCCTAATAACCGCCCAGAACATCTTAACCCAGAGCATCTTAGCAACCTCCTAGCAACCACCCAGAACACCTTAGCAACCACCTATCAACCACCCAGAATATCTTATCAACCACCCAGAACATCTTAACAACCTCCCAGCAATGACAGAACGCCTTAGCAACCTCCCAGCAACCACACAGAACACCTTAGCAACCTCCTAGTAACCACCCAGAACATCTTAACCCAGACCATCTTAGCAACCTCCCAGCAATGACACGGAACACCTTAGCAACCTCTTAGTAACCACCCTAAACTGAAGATATATTCATGTTTACTTACAATTCAGCCAATTATTGGCACTGACATCTTAGCAACCTCCTAGCAATCTCCCAAAACATCTTAGCAACCATCTAGATCATCTTAGCAACCTCCCAGCAACCACCATAAACACCTTAGCAACCTCCTAGCAACCACCCTAAACCCCTTAGCAACCTTCTAGCAACCACCCAGAACACCTCAGCAACCTCCCAGAACCTCCTAATAACCGCCCAGAACATCTTAACCCAGAGCATCTTAGCAACCTCCCAGAAACCACATAGAACACCTTAGCAACCTCCCAGCAATCACACAGAACACCTTAGCAACCTCCTAGTAGCCACCCTAAACCCCTTAGCAACCTTCTAGCAACCCCCCAGAACCTCCTAATAACCGCCCAGAACATCTTAACCCAGAGCATCTTAGCAACCTCCTAGCAACCCCCCAGAACACCTTAGCAACCACCTATCAACCACCCAGAATATCTTAGCAACGTCTTAGCAACCTCCAGAATATCTTAGCAACCACCCAGAACCTCCTAAAAACCGCCCAGAACATCTTAACCCACACCATTTTAGCAACCACACAGAACCCCTTAGCAACCTTCTAGTAACCACTCTGAACCCCTTAGCAACCTTCTATCAACCACCCAGAACACCTCAGCAACCCCCCAGAACCTCCTAATAACCGCCCAGAACATCTTAACTCAGAGCATCTTAGCAACATCCTAGCAACCACCCTAAACACCTCATCAACCTCCAAGCAACCACCCAGATCAACTTAGCAACTTCCTAGCAACCTCCAGAATATCTTAGCAACCCCCCAGAACCTCCTAACAACCACCCAGAACATCTTAACCCACACCATTTTAGCAACCTCCTAGCAACCATACAGAACACCTTAGCAACCATCTAGTAACCACCCTGAACCTCTTAACAACCTTCTGGCAACCAATCAGAACCTCCTAACCGCCCAGAACATCTTAACAACCCAGACCATCTCAGCAACCCCCCAGCAACCACACATAACACCTTAGCAACCTCCTAGTAACTACCCTAAACCCCTTAGCAACCTTCTAGCAACCACCCAGAACATCTTAGCAACATCCTAGCAACCACCCTAAACACCTCATCAACCTCCAAGCAACCACCCAGATCAACTTAGCAACTTCCTAGCAACCTCCAGAATATCTTAGCAACCCCCCAGAACCTCCTAACAACCACCCAGAACATCTTAACCCACACCATTTTAGCAACCTCCTAGCAACCATACAGAACACCTTAGCAACCATCTAGTAACCACCCTGAACCTCTTAACAACCTTCTGGCAACCAATCAGAACCTCCTAACCGCCCAGAACATCTTAACAACCCAGACCATCTCAGCAACCCCCCAGCAACCACACATAACACCTTAGCAACCTCCTAGTAACTACCCTAAACCCCTTAGCAACCTTCTAGCAACCACCCAGAACATCTTAGCAACTTCCTAGCAACCACAAGACCATCTCAGCAACCACCAAACAATCTCTTAACAACGCCCAGAACATCTTAGCAACCACACATAACACCTTAGCAACCTCCTAGTAACCACCCTAAACCCCCTAGCAACCTTCTAGCAACCACCCAGAGCATCTTAGCAACTTCCTAGAAACCACAAGAACATCTTAGCAAATCAGACCATCTTAGCAACCACCTAGCAATCTCCTAACAACGCCCAGAACATCTTAGCAACTTCCTAGCAACCACCCTAAACACCTCATCAACCTCCTAGCAACAACCCAGATCATCTTAGCAACCTCCTAACAACCTCCAGAATATCTTAGCAACCACCCAGAACCTCCTAACAACCGCCCAGAACATCTTAACCCAGACCATCTTAGCAACCTCCTAGTAACTACCCTAACCCCCCCACCCCCCAGAACATCTTAGCAACCCAGACTGACTATCTTAGCAACCACCCAGAACACATTAACAACTTCCTAGTGACCAAAAAATAAAATAAAATAAAACTACTGCATAAAATTACTGAAATTACATTAATATTTATTTAGAATTCAGACAATTATTGGCAGTGGTTATTGGCCAAAAATCTCAAAATGATCAAACAGCACAAAATTTCCAGCACTTACGATTTTCTTCATTTCCAAGATTAATCTAGCATAATCTCAGACTGTAAAAGCTCTGGACGCACGAAAGCAAAGCAACAACAGCAAATGAGAAACACAAGACTTTATTAGTGATCAGATGTGAAAATAACACTGAGTAACCAAATATTTCAAGTAACTTTCAAACACTCTGATTCTGTGGCTGGTTCCACTGATGAATGTTTAACGAATGCTTAAACAACAATAACAATAAAAAGTAAACAAACCCGCTAAAATACTGCGATGCCATGAAGGACAACTATAAAACTCAACACTCTCATGGGTCTGGTTTCTTCTCACGTTCCTCCTTCTCTTCTAGTTCTCGTTTCTTCTCCAGGTAAAGGTTGCTCAGGTAGTCGTCAGGTGTGATGCCTGCATCTTTCAGCTCGGTCATGATCTTCTCCAGCCGCGCGAGGCTCCTGGCGCTCGTGACCTTACGGCCGCTGATGTACAGCGTGAAGCGCTTGAAGTCCATGAGCTGACAGGAGTCCACTTCACACAGGTTCTTCAGCCGCTCGCGTCGCTCCACCGCAGGGAAGAACGTCAGGCCCGACATGCGCTCCAGATCCGACAGACTCACCTGAAACTCCGTCAGCGGATGCTCGAAGCCGATCGGAGCATTCGGGACCACAAACGCTCCGAGAGCCAGAGAGTCTGAAGAAGAGTCTTTCTGCGCCAGGATGACTTTGTAGAGGTGAGTGGGAACTGCAACGTCGTCCTTCCCGATCAGCTGAAATGTAGATTGCAAACGCTAGTGTTCAGTGCAATATATATATATATATATATGTGAATTCTAAATATATATAATATTTGTAATTAACATACATATGTTAATTATATGAGTGTGTAAAGAAAATATAATACGGTTTAGGGTCAATAAGACATTTTTTCTGCTCACCAGGGCTGCATTTATTTGATCAAAAATACTGTAAAAAATGTGAAATATTATTGCAATTTAAAATAGCTGTTTTCTATGTGAATATCTGTTAAACTGTAATTTATTTCTGTGATCAAAGCTGTATTTTCAGCATCATTACTCCAGTCTTCAGTGTCACATGATCTTCAGAAATCATTCTAATATGCTGATTTGCTGCTCAAGAAACATTTCTGATTATTATCAATGTTGAAAACAGTTGTGCTGCACAATATTTTTGTGGAAACCGTGATGCATTCAATTTTTCAGGATTCACAGATGAACAGAAAGTTCAAAAGAACAGCATTTATTTGAAATAGAAATCTTTTGTAACTTGTATAAATGCCTTTACTGTCACTTTTGATCAATTTAATGCAGCCTTGATGAATAAAAGAATTAATTTGTTTTAAAAACAATAAAATAAAATCCTAGTGAACCCAAACCTACGAATGGTAGTGTATATTAAAAAAAATAATTAAAAATAAATAAATAAATACATAATAATAAAAGTAAAATAAAAACAATAAAAAATTTAATATATTTTATATATAATTCATAAAATATAATTTATATAAAATATGTAAAATATTTATATTTATTTATAAATAAACATTTACTTACTCTGATTTAAAGCTGTACAATATTTTTTCTTAAACATGATTATTTTAACAATTTCCATGCATTAAAACTGAATGTGGATAGACACTGTCAAGCTTTAAAAAAGACGAAACGGCAACATTACAGAATCAAAACAGCAATCCATATGCCTTGTGCACAATTTATGACTTAATATAATATAGTAACAATTAATATAGTGTCATACGGACTACTATTATAGTACGTTTTTGTCATATGTGACCCTGCAGCACAAAAGCAGTGTTAAGTCGCTGGGGTATATTTGCAGCAATAGCCAAAAATACACTGTATGGGTCAAAATTATACATTTCAAATCTCAATTTCGAAAAATTGACACTTATGACTGGTTTTGTGCTCCAGGGTCACATTGTTGAATCTCGACAGCATCTAACCCCGCATTATTAGGAAAAGAGCAGCATGAACATACTGCTAAACATCTGCTTTTTCAATAATCAGGTGAATTATTCCTGCAAGTATGATTTAAAGATAATGAGATGGATGATCATTTCAGAGGAAGAGAAACTCTAGCGATCAGCCACTGTCAGACGGAGTTCCTCTCAGATTCCCATCAGACGCTGGCTTCTGTCTCGCTTCATCTGCGAGAGTCCTGAGCCTCGGGCACCTGTCTGTGTTCATTTACACATGGCACAAAACCAAATCTGTCCCTCTGAAGCCAGCTGGAGCTCCAGAGCCCCCCGAACGAACGGAGACGCGAGTGTCACTTCTCTAATGTAAAATATCATTTAGATTCAGTTGCTAATATTATTACATGAATCCGTAAGCGATGAGGGACGGTGTGGTTGTAAGTCGTCGTTTGAGGTTCCGATGGAAATGCTGAGTATAGATTTGAACTGATTTTTAGTAAGTCAGCTGATGACTGATTTCTGGAGATCAGCAGGAACTCATGAAGAGCAGCAGCGCCACCTACTGGACTCTTATTATTATTACAACTGCATTTTTAATGAACTTTTCAAAAGCCTTCAGGTCCCAGAATAAAGGACAGAAAGGAAAGTGTTTATGGCTATAATCCAGAATACTAATTTCCTTTAGGAATATGCTTTATTGTGAATAAATTTTTTTTTTTTTTAAATCTGACAAAATTATATTTAAAAAACTTGGATTTTGAAGATATTCTTTATGTAATAATAATAATAATAATAATTCCATCATGTGTGTGTCATTTTCTTTAAATTATTCAATGACATGAATTTATTGTTTTTTGCATTCATTTTCATTTTTTGCATTTTTGCTTTAATTTCCATTGGGAATATGCTTTATTATGAAGAAAACAAACATGTCTGTGTTTCTGGCTATAATCTGAAATTATAGTGCATGTTGTCTTAAGTTCTTTTAGGAATATGCTTTATTATGAAGAAGAAAAAAAAAAATTTAAAATAGGATTTTAAGGATATTCTTTATATAAAAATAATAATAATAATCCATGATGTGTGTCATTTTTTAAATGAAATGATCTACTGACGTGTGCTATTTGCCTTTAAGTTTACCGTGGCATTTCTTTATTTTATTTTTTTTTATTAATTTCTTTTATGATATGCTTTATTACAAAGAAAAAAATTGCTATGAAATCAGAAAAAAAAAATCTATATATAAATTATACTGACTTGTGTGTGTTATTTGCCTTACTTTGTTATTTCTCTAGGAGTATACTTTATTATGAAGAAAAAAATGCTTTTAAAAAAATCGGACAAAATTATATTTAAAAAATTGGATTTTGAAGATATTCTTTATGTTACAATAATAATAATAACAATAACTCCATGGTGTGCGTGTCATTTGTTAAAATTATCCATTGACATGCATTTTTTGTATTTGCATTAATTTCCTTTTTTTTTTTCCATTGGGAATATGCTTTATTAAAAATAGGTTTTTAGGGATATTCTTTATATAATAATAATAATAATAATCCATGATGTCTGTCATTTTCTTAATGAAATTATCTACTGACGTGTGCTATTTGCCTTTAATTTTACCATGGAATTTCTTTATTTTTTTTATTAATTTCATTTATGATATGCTTTATTACAAATAAAAAATTGCTAAGAAATCACAAATTATACTGACCATGTGTTATTTGCATTATTTTGTTATTTCTCTAGAAATATACTTTATTACAAAGAAAAATGCTAAGAAGTCATACAAAATTAAATAAAAAATGAGAGATTTTAAAGACATTAATACATGCAAGAATAATAATTATTATTATTCTTGATGCGTGTAGAGTTTTCTTAAAGGGATTACCTACTGACATGCAATTTGCTTTTAATTTCTAATGGAATTTCTTTCTTTCTTGCTTTGCTTAGATTTTTGTGTTAATTTGGAACACGCTTTACTACAAAGAAGAAAAGCTATGCAACTTGACAAAATTGCATACAAATGTAGGATTTTAAAGAGATATTATGTGTCCCTGCAGCACAAAAGCAGTGTTAAGTCGCTGGGGGATATTTGTAGCAACAGCCAACAATATATTGTATGGGTCAAAATTATAGATTTTTCTTTTATGCCAAAAATCATTAGGATATTAAGTAAAGATCATGTTCCATGAAGATATTTAGTAAATTTCCTACATCAAAACTTAATTTTTGATTAGTGATATGCATTGCTAAGAACTTCATTTGAACAACTTTAAAGATGATTTTCTTAATATTTAGATTTTTTTGCACCCTCAGATTCCAGATTTTCAAATAGTTGCATCTCAGCCAAATATTGTCCTCCTATCCTAACAAACCATACATCAATGGAAAGATTATTTACGCAGTTTTCGAGAAATTGACCCTTATGACTGGTTTTGTGGTCCAGGGTCACATATGCCATAATAACAATAATTCCATGAATGTTCTCTTACTGAAACGGTCCTTTGTTCACAGGTTTTGCCTTGTGTGAGTGTTGGAAGGAACAGTGAAGGTCAAAGGTCGCGGTGGGTCTCACCTGATAGCAGACGGTTCTGCTGCCGTTCTCTTGCGTCTGTGGCAGCAGCAGCGGTCCAGAAACCACCCACAGCTGGCTGAAGCTCTGCGTCAGATCTCGACAGTACATCTCCAGCCTTACAGAGACATCTGCGCATGAGCAGCGCTCGCACAAACACCACAAACACAGCCCACGGCCCAAACAGACCTGTTCCAGAAGCCCGCGTTGTTCTCGTAGTTCTGCGGGACGATGTTGGACAGATAGAACGTCTCCGCCATCGCTCGCTGTCGACAGAAACCATCAGATTCACAGATCAGCATCTCGCAAAACCTCCGCAGACTCGCAGCGATACGAACGAAATCCCTCAGATATCACAGCAGCTGAACGGTCTAAAATACATCATTAACTACATCATGACACTGTTTATTAATGCATTTGTACTTATGCTTATATCCATTATTCTTATATGCAGCAGTTCTTGACGGATTGAGTTTTGAGATATATTTGTGTATTGCAAGGTGTGTATTTAATTTTAAGACATTTATGTCCTTTTTCATTATGCATTCATTCATAAATCAATAAATGTGTTTCATGCATTATTTATTTGTGCTTTCATTTATTTATTTATTGAAGCATTCTATAATGCATTTAATCATTTCATTATACATTTATTTATTTTAGTCTGTTAAATCCCTTTATAAAGTTGAAGCATGCTCATCTCCAAATAAATAAATAATACATTATATACACAATAATAACAATAATAATATAATAAATAATAGTGTGTATTTCAGTTCATATTTCATGGGGTTTTTCATTTTAAGGCTTTTTAATTTTACATGAAAAAATAAATGTATTTTCTATTTAGAAATGCATTCATTTCTTTGCCCTTTTATTTATTTATTGCAGCATTCTATAATGCATTTAATAATTCATTTAATAAATATATATATATATATATTAGTCTGTTAAATCCCTCCATAAATGTGAAGCATGCTCATATCTAAATAAATAAATAATAATAATAAAAAAAATATATATATATATACACACAACACTAACAGCAATAATGTATAATAATTTAATGTATAATAATATATATAAGTGCGTATTAGTTTTTTTTTTTCATTTTAGGGCATATTTCATGTGGCATTTTACATGAAAAAAAAATTATTTCATGACTTGCTTTCATTTCTTTCTGCACTTTTAGTGATGTACACGTGATGTTTGAGACCTCGGAGATCTTGTTGTCTCCCGCAGGAGCCATGTGTCCGCGAGACCAGCCGCTGCGCAGGTAATCCTGGTTCCGGGCCGTGAAGAGCTCGGGAACGCCGGGATCGGGTCTGAACCTGCAGTGTTTTCTGTCGGCGTGCCCTGTTGAGGAATCAGGAGAGAGTCAGAGTGGATCTCCAGCGCGTCTGATTAGTGCTGGGCGGTATACCGGTTCAAACCGAATACCGGTGTTTATTTTTGTTATGATATGAATTTTTAAAATACCGCAATACTGGTGCATGTCGCTTAAACAACGTTCGGAACGCGACACTGTTTGAAAGGGGTCCCTTTTCACTGTTGCACAAAAAATACCGTCATGTACCGTGAAACCGGTATAATTTTTAAAAATACCGTGATATACATTTTTGGTCACACCGCCCAGCACTACGTCTGATCGTCAGACTCGACTCACCCAGTAATCCCCGAGCGCTCAGGTGTTCTGCCACCCAGCGGGGCGTCCGCAGCGCCTGATCGTACGACAGAGCGTGATTGCTGTAGAACCGGGTCTCAGCGCCGCTCTGAGGAAGACCGAAGCGCTCGATGAGACGAGGAGCGGAGCTGCCTGGAGATTTACACACAACTAACATCTCATTACTGAGTCATGAACATTACTAAAGCATATGTGACCCTGGAGCACAAAACCAGTCATAAGGGTCCATTTTTAGAAATTGAGATGTATGCATCATCTGAAAGCTGAATAAATAAGCGTTCCATTGATGCATGGTTTGTTAGGATAGGACAATATGTTTGAATTTTTACATAAATATTGTGTTACACTGAATGACAATGTAACATTATTTCAACCAAATTGTAACATTTTATTCTCCAAAAACTTATTTGGAACCTTAAAAGTAGACACTTTACTTACATTTAATGTGCTTTCTATGGATATAAAATCACTTTTGTACATTTATTTTGATGCGGACATCTTAATGTCTTGCATATACTTGCAATCCTTGCTAAACAGTAACTAATTGTTAACTGAATAGACACAATAAAATAAAATAAATAAACAAATAATAATTAAAAAAATACATAAATAATTATGTTTCCTGAACAATAAGCGATGGAAATGTTTAAAAGCTTTATGCGTGTAGTAAAAAGTTTAAGTTTTATTCATTTACAGAAACAAACTTGAAAAATAAATAATAATAAATAAATCACTGATCATTTTACAATATTATTTACAACAAAATAAAAAATAAATAAATGAGTATTTTGCATATCCTACAAAATACTAAATTTATTCAGATTTAAGATTAACATTTTATATACTTGGTTATTTTTTCAGTCCACAAAATTCACATTTTGCATTTATCATATTTTATTTTATATTTGTATATATATATATTTTTTATTTTAATTTAAAGTTAATTTTAGAAGCTTATTTTATAAGATTATATGTTTATGTTTGTTTTGTATGGTTTTAAAACCCTATATCAACAGAAAACTGGGTTGTATGACAGAAATGTGTAATTATTTTGTTTACAGAATGACATTTTAAAATGTAAAGAACATTAAATTATGCAATTATTATTATTTTATTAGTAAAATACCATTAAATACATTACGTAAATAATCATTTTTCCTGAACAATAAGCGATGGAAATGTTCAAAAGCTTAATGCGTGTAGTAAAAAAGTTTAAGGTTTATTTATTTACAGAAACACACTTAAAAAAACATAATAATAATAAACCAATCACTCGCTGATCATATTTACTGGTGTAACGGTGTGACAACTTACCCCGGTCTCGGTATATGGATGTACATGAACTACTGACCTGCTAATAATTATATAACGTTTGTGTCATATCTCTTTATTATTCAATAAAGTAACGTTATTTGTGATGCTTTACCGGAGTCTGTTTTCTGCTCTTCATACAAATAGAGTTTGAGAGCCGCGACACCGGAAGTAGCTCCGAGCACAAAGCCGCAGACGAACCTCACCGAAATCCCTTTAGACGCCATCAGGAAATATTACACTTAATTAACGCCATCAGGAAATATTACACTTAATTATGACTTTAAACCAAAATCCCATCAGACACACAGAAGCACTAACAGCGCGGCGTCAGCGAGGAAGAGCGCAGCAGCAGCAGAGCGCTCTCCTCACAGCGCCGCCTGACGGCAGAAACACAGAACTGCAGCAGATAAACACACGCAGTAATTAACTCAAGCTTGTAAAACACACACGCACTCATGATCTCAGAAGCATTATGAAGTGTAATAATGATAATTATATAATATTACATATTAGTTTATTTAATTTTATGTTATTTTCAATATATTACATTTATATTTATATATAGATTTTTTTTCATATTTAATTTAATATTCTAAATATACAATTAACATGTAATTATTTAATTATATATTAGTTTTATATTTAATTTAGTTATTTTCAATATATTACATTTATATTTATATATAGATTTTTCACATTTAATTTAATATTTTAAATATACAATTTATATATAATACATATTTAATTACATATTAGTTTATTTCATGTTATGTTATTTTCAATATATTAAATTAATATTTACATATAGATTTTTCATACTTAATTTAATATTTTAAATATACAATTAATATATAATAAATATTTAATCATATATTAGTTTTATATTTATATAATACAACATTCATATTTATTAATTACATTTAAATACAAATTTGAAATTAACAAATTTAAATATAAAATGAATATATAAATATTTAATTATATTAGTTTTATATTTAATTTGATGTTAATTTAAATATATTACATTTGTATTTAATTTAATTTCAAATATATACTTCAATTATTAAACATGAATGCATGATATAATAATATACTTAATTATATAATAATTTTCTATTAAATATGACATTTTTATTGTAACTATTTTTTAATTTAAACATGAATGTATTAATTCTATAATATGTTTAATTATATAATACAACATTCATATTTAACACTCATATTTTAATAATTATTTAAAATTATTAAATAATTATTTACATTTAAATACAAACTTGAAATGAACTAATTTAAATATAAAATTAACATAAATATTTAATTATATTAGTTTTATATTTAATTAATTTCAATACAGTACATTTGTATTTAATTTGTTAATTTCAAATATAAATTTAAATGATTAAATATGAATGCATTAATTATATATTTAATTATATAAGTTTTATATTACATATTTAATTTTTTATTGTAACTGTATATTTTAATTATTAAATATTAAATAATATGAATCTATTAACAAATACATGTGTAAATAAATATTTATTAATACATTAAATTTAAATTAAATAAAAAAATTAAATTTAATTAAAATTTAATTAAATTTATGCATTTAGCATATTAAATAATATGAATCTAACAAATACATGTATAAATCAATATTTATAAATACATACATATTTGTCTGGGTATATATTTGATATACCGACCTGTTAAGTTGATTAACCCATCTATCTATAAAATAACAAATAATAATATATAAATTAATAAAAATATAAAATAAATAATTGTACTGCTGAAGAGGGCAAAACAGATTTCAGAGACGACACACAGCTCAAATTATGCTTTATGAGTATTTATTGTTTACTTTCAGATACAAAAAGATAGAATTGAAATAATCGGTTCTAGCGGCCGGGCTGTGCTTGTTTCAGACTCTGGGCAAATACTACATTCATACTGGTTTATTCTGGCACCAGTGCGGAGCAGAAACAAGCACAGCCCGGCGTCTGATACTGAGCTCAGTAACAACACCAGGATCCACTGCAGATTAAACCACTGTGTGTTACAACACTCCTCACCAGCGCTTCTGATCCAGACACAACTTTAACATACGCTCCACTCTCCCTTTACATCGAGAGTTTTAGTATATTTCTGTTAGAATCAGTAGTACAAGCCATGTCTGCTCTACAGTTTCAGCTACAGTAGTGAAAGATCACCTACAACACGTACAGCTCACATATTCTGGAACAGAAACAGCGTTTGAAACACCAGCCCTCGACAAACTCCGTCTCACGTCACGATCACGAGCCGCCGAGATACAGACGTCAACCAGTTACACACAACATACTGAATTACGCTGGTCTGTTTGGGTTCCCCACTCAAAAACAAACAAACAAACAAACAAAATGAAATTGCAAAAAGATATATAAATCACAAAATTAAACATTCAAAAATAAGAAAAGAAAAATGAAAAGAAAATTATGAAAAGAAAAAAAAAACGACAAGATAAAAAAATAAAAAAATAAAATAAAATTATGAAAAAAGAAAAAAAACGACAAAAAAATTGTAAAAAGATATAAAAACCACAAAATAAAAAATATATAAAATAAAATAAGAAAATAAAAATGAAAATAAAATTATGAAAAAAGAAAAAAAAAACTACAAAATAAAATTATAAAAATATATAAATATTTATCAACAGCTGACTTTGATATACGGTTAAAAATAAAACTCTAAAACACTCACTTTTGTTTTCATAATCATAATAGAAAATAAAGAAAGAAGCATAACTGAGCAGGTTTATATTATACTTACACTTCAATCTAAATAACCTCATTAACACGATTTTTAGGGGCTTCACAGATGATGTAGATATAATCTGTAATATTTCAACAGAATAACAACGTAACTCAGTTTTACACTTTCTGACTCAAACAAACCAACTCAGATCTAAGATTGTAATTCCTGGTTTCTATCGTCTGTAGGGTGTCGTGAAACACAGATGAGGAGGTTGTGGAGTTTGTGGAGGGCTCGTATAGTATAAAAGAGGTTTGTGATTCACTTTGATTCGTTCGTTCGTTCGTTCGTTCGTGTGTCACGACGCTCCAGCTATAAACACTGCTTCAGTGAGTTCTGAGGTATCGGCTTCCTGAAAACCTGGACCAAAGATTGCATCCAGAGTTACAGCTGGTCACTTTTAGAGTTTCACATCTGATATATCTCTATAGAGTTTCCATATATATTTTATATAGCTTCTTTTCTGCAGGTAGAACAGAAAGTGAGAGACGGAAGAAGAGACCGAGCAGACGCAGCGATCGCTTCAGCGAAGCTCAGAAAACACATGATATAAGATATGAATCATGAATCCATCCGTCTTTGAGTTCAGAAGCTCAAACGCAAGCAAACGAGAAGGAAAACCATCTAAACACACGGTTATAGTTTAACAACTCATCTCAGAAAACTCCTCCAGGTCATATTTCACCACAGAATTAACATTGCAAAGAAAATTAAGTCTATTTAAGGCCATTATTTGTTGCATTTTAATAGTATTTTATAATGACAATGAAAAATAATTGTCATTAAAATTACTTAATTTGACTCTTTTTTTTATATAAACATAAAATTAAACGTTATTAAAATAAAATAAATTAGAAAAACCTTTTTATTTCAGGTAGTTGACAAGGCAACATTTCTATTTATATTTCTAACATTTCTAATTTAGGTAATTTAGGTTGACTTGAAATAAACTAAAACTGAAATAAAATTTCTTAAAAATATATAGACATTGTAAAAAAAAAAAAAAGACAAAAACAAAAAAATGACAAAAGCACAACAAATTTACTAACACTTTAACTAAATTTAAATTAAAACAGAAAATATAAATATATATAATGAAGTGAAATTAAACAACTTTAATGACAATTGTTTTCTAAAATTTTTAGAAAATAAAATAAATAAATAAATTGTATAAAATAATTACTTCTCTTATATATACATATATATGTAAAAATAATTTCAGTTAATTATTTAATAAATTTTATAATTTATTTTTTAATAATTAATATATATATATATATATATTCTATATATAAGAGAGATAGACTTAGTTACCTTGATCCTAAAAATATGCAAAATATATATTTTTTTTTTCTCTCTCTCTTTTTTGTTTCTGGTGTGAAATATGTTTCTTAGCAAGTTTCATGAGACACAAAGGTGTTAGAAGGCAGTAAAATCAGGTTTAATTGGAGGTGACGACATACTGGAGAAACACTGGACTGTCTTTAGTGCATAATGTAGCGTGTGAATGTACTGCATAAATCACATCTCTCGCCAAAACCACTCACAATATGAAGCATAAAACAAACCGAAAGGCTTTCATTTCATCTCTAGACGACTGGAGAAGATCACAAACTCAACACTAAAACCTCACGATAAAGACACAAAGACATCTGTAAATACAATCAGCTAACGTTAAACATAACCAAAGCCTTTGGTTTTCCTCTCGCAGAAGGAATTTGGCTACATATCGTACGTTATTTCAAACGAAACGACGTCAGTTCATCGAAACGCCACGAAGGTCGCCACGAAGGTCTACGAGCACGCGGTCGAAGCTGGCCTGATGTGGATCTCAATGCCCAAAGGTCGTCTACAGACTATTGCTGGAGATATTGCTAGCTACATCGTCTGAGTCGGTCGGAAACTCTCCGATTGCGCAACCAATCCGAACTTTCCCGGTTAACCTGAAGAGAACGCAGTTTCCTGAAAGTGTCGAGATGCAGAGCTGACCCGTGATTGGCCGAGCCATCGCTGGGAAACGCGCTACTTTGGCACTTTGGGATTTCGCCGTGCCAGAATTGGGCGTCGCAACGTTTCTAATGCTACGACATAGCAACCGAAAGCAAAAGAGACCAAATGAAGTGCACCAGGCAAATAAAATGAAAGAAAACAAACAAAAACAAATCAAATGTATTTGATAAAAAGTCAATCAAAAAGTTGTCAAAGATGGATCTTCATTTCAACTCATGATATATGGCACCAGAATAGATAACTTAAAGCTCTGAGCTGGGTTTGAGAGGAAGTCGAAGCGACCGCTGCAGTGCATCATGGGTACAGAGAGCAGAGAAATGGCACAAACGTTCGGGACACCGAACCTTCATTTGGCCCTGAAAATCTTTGTGAAATCGCCGGTAAAATTTGGCCGAGGTCATTTGGTAAGCATTGGGTTCACAGTCAATTCTTAAAGATATAGTTCACCCAAAAATGACAATTCTGTCATCAGAAGATACTTTGGGGTTGACGGTAGCCATTGATTTCCATAGTATGCAAAAAAAAAAAATATACTATGGAAGACAATGGCTACCATCAACTGTTTTGTTCCCAACATTCTTCAAAATAAGATATTTTGGTTACCAACATTCTTTAAAAGATATTTTGAAGATATTGCGAAGGATGTTGGTAACCAAACAGTTGACGGTAGCCATTGACTTCCATAGTAGGACAAAAAATACTAGGTAAGAAAATGGCTACCGTCAATTGTTTGGTTCCCAAAATGCGTCAAAATAAGATATTTTGAAGAATGTTGGGAACGAAACAGTTGACGGTAGCTATTTACTTCCATTGTAGGACAAAAAATACTATGGAAGTCAATGGCTACCATCAACTGTTTGGTTCCCAACATTCTTCAAAATAAGACATTTTGGTTACCAACATTCTTCAAAAGATATTTTGAAGATATTTCGAAGGATGTTGGTAACCAAACAGCTGACGGTAGCCATTGACTTCCATAGTTGGACAAAAAATACTAAGTAAATGGCTACCATCAACTGTTTTGTTCCCAACATTCTTCAAAATAAGATATTTTGGTTCCCAATATTCTTCAAAATAAGATATTTTTAAGGAGATAATTTGAAGAATGTTCGGAACTAAACAGTTGACGGTAGCTACTGACTTCCATTGTAGGACAAAAAATACTATGGAAGTCCATGGCTACAATCAACTGTTTTGTTCCCAGCATTCTTCAAAATAAGCCATTTTGGTTACCAACATTCTTCAAAAGATATTTTGAAGAAGATATTTCGAAGGATGTTGGTAACCAAACAGCTGACGGTAGCCATTGACTTCCATAGTAGGACAAAAAATACTAAGTAAATGGCTACCGTCAATTGTTTGGTTCCCAGAATGCTTCAAAATAAGATATTTTGAAGAAGATATTTCGAAGGATGTTGGTAACCAAACAGTTGACGGTAGCCATTGACTTCCATAGTAGGACAAAAAATACCATGGAAGTCAATGGCTACCGTCAATTGTTTGGTTCCCAACATTATTCAAAATAAGATATTTTGGTTACCAACATTCTTCAGAATAAGATATTTTGAAGAAGATATTTCGAAGGATGTTGTGAACCAAACAGTTGATGGTTACCATTGACTTATATAGCATGAAGAGAAAAAAAAATACTATGGAAGTCAATGGCTACCGCCAACTCTTTGGTTCCCAACATTATTCAGATATGAATATGATTTTTTGAAGAATGGAAGTAAATGCCTACTGGCAACTTTTAGGTCTTCAAAATAACTTTTGGGTGAACTTTCATCCCTTTATGGTTTCTTTTGAACGACGGCGTCAATTTCGTCCCTCATAACATCGTACGAGGGGTACGTAAAAAATTGTGCAAGTAAAAACGGGGAAATACAATCAAATTTTTGGAAAAAGCACCAAACGTTTAAGGTTCAATGTCCCGTGAAGTCAGAGACAGGAAGAATAAGCAGAATAATGCCCTGTTTCACTGATCGGCACGATACTACAACTGTTTACAGCTATTTACATCAAAGGTTTCTCTTGTTTATACAACACAACTTAGTAGCACTTCTTTTTTTTTCTTTTTACTTCTCCAAAACATCTTCCCTAATCATAAAAGCCAGCTTACATCAAAATATACTTACTACAAGTCAACACAACTAACAAAATATATAACAGAAGTCAAACACGTAGAAAATCTGAGGTATTTCTGGTCTGAGGTGGTCTGTGGTTCATGAACAATAACTTTTTTTTGTCCTTTCACAACTAATTTTATTGATTAGAGTTGCGCTCGTTCGTCTCGGAAGCCTTGTGAATGTCTGGTGACGCGCGGTTGCATCTGAGGATGAACTTTACTGAGAAGATATAGAAAATATCGTAATTCATCCAAACAGCAGAAGTAGCGCTGTGGAAACTCACTCTTGAATTATGGCATATGGAAACGTGGCTCACTAGCCACTTTTAAGACAAAATAAATAGCATTCTTGTGTTTTTTGTCTTTGCTAATGAGTCAAACGTCGCCTGGTCAAAGTGACGTTTGACGATCTCTAATTTTTAGCCCCAAACTGAAGTCTCAGTATCGTCGGAGGTCAGATCTCAGATTTGGTCGCTGTTAGAAAGAGAGGTAATACATGAAGGGACCCGACCAAAACACACAAAACCAAACACTTCCGGGTGAATCGCATAAAACAGGGTCGTATTTCAGCTTCAAGTCAAAGAAAAAAATAAGAAATTGTATTTTGCTTCAGCTAATATTTGGAATTTTGCATTGTTTAATATTTTCACAACAATTAAGCACTTTTTCCCCCCAAATTATCAAAAAAAATCACTTACTTTAATTTATAGATTATTGCAGTATTTGTTGAACTATCTGAACTGATTTTCTTTTTAAAGCATAAATTGTTATATTGCAGTAATAATTAGAATCAGCATTGATGCACTTATAATTAAATCCAGCATAATCTAATTAATTAGAATCAACATTGAGAATAATTAGAATTACAAAAAAACTAAAAAAAAATGAGAATTTGGGTAAAATGTTTTTATATATCATTTAATATTTGTTGTACTACCTGTACTGATTTTTTTAATTAAAATCTGCATAAATTATTATATAATAATGTATGCAGTCAACATTGAGAACAATGAGAATTACCAAAAAATAAAATAATAAATAAATAAAATACATAAAAATAAAAAATAAAATAAAACAAAACAAAACAGAATAAAATAAAATAAAAAATAAAATAAAAAACATCTGGATGCATTATGGTCATGGGAATTTCTGGTAAAACGTATAAATTACCAGTCTAAATTAATTAATTACACAATTACCAGAAATAATATATTTAATTACGGTCATAAGAATTTGAGGGAAAATGTGCTTAATAATAATGCCACAATTAAAAAAATTATCTTAATGCCCCTTAAAAGCCTTTATTTTATTTACGACAAATATTATTTCTTATTTTTTTCGTTTGATTTCGAAGTGTTTTAACCCGGAATTTCACTCTTCTGAGTCCAAAACACATGTTGCATTATTACAAGAGAAACTAGACAGAAAACACTTGCGTTCATACGGGCCAAACCTTTTATGGTCTTTTTTTCTATTTTCAACAAACTCTGAGCATCAAA